AAAAGACCTCAAGCCGAGCCACAAGGTAGGACCTACTGTGTTTCCAGCAAGAACACAGACAAACTGAAGCTTGGATCCAGCTAAATTCGGGGAACATCCTTGTGTCCTCCTTAGAGCCACTGATCTATAGGAAAATAGCACACGACACATCTGTAATCCCAGCACTTGGGAGGCTGAGGCAGGAGGATTGCCATGAGTTCAAGGCCAGCCTGGGATTTGTAGTGAATTCAAGGCCAGCCTGAATTACATAGGGAAACCCTGTTTCAAAATTTAAAAAGAAAGAAAAAGAAAAGAAAAAATAGCACACAAAAGACTGACTGTACTGATTTTTCATGAAGACTATAGACTTCCTGCTTGTCAGGAGGAATTTATTGGCACAGGAGAAAAGCCTGGTAAAATGATAAGTTCTAATCCTTATTGCTGCACCAGATCTAAAACTTGAATGGGTGATGCTTTCTTTTTCTCGCAGGAGGGGTGGGTGTACAATGAATGTGAGTGACACTTCTCATTCTGAATATAAATCCAATTGCATCAGAGACCCAATGTTGGATACTGTGTGCGAAGCAGTCTGAAGCATTTGATAATTCATCTTGGACCATTTAAATATATGTAATTAAATTAGCTGCCAGCCGAGGCCGTCATTCCTCGGGGACTACATAGAGCACCAAGGTTAGTGCTCCTGTATCAGACTTTTTCGGTTTTAGGAAACTCATGGCAGTGTGGGGAACCCTCGACTAAAACATTAAAATTTATGCTTTAACTGGTGTACTTTTCTTAACTACTCAACTAGAATATTGTATACCTGTCCAGAATATATGTTCAGGACAGACAGCCATTAATTGGCATTTATAGCCCATTTTTAATCTTAATTATACAATATTTAGGAATCTATGACATTTAACTTTAGGAATAAAGCACTTAACAGGGTTGAGGATGCTATATTCTATGTTATTCTAGCAGTCCATAGAAAGAGAAGAGCCTTAATTTTTAAAACCTGTTTTAGTAATTTTTATGATAATGAAAATTGCTTAGTGAACATCTGTTTTCCCACAGGGAGGAAAAACAGTGCATTCAACATGCTAAGTCAGAAACACAACAAATTTGCTAGCTATTGCCACTTCTATTCCACCTAATTTTGGAAGTCCTAGCCAGAGAAATTAGGCAAGAGTGGTACTAAATTGGAAAGGAAGAAGTTAAATTTTCTCTGTTTGCAATTGACATAATCTCATATATAGAAAACCCTAAAGATTTGACCACAAAACTGTCAGAACTAATCAGCAAATTCAGTAAAGTTGGGAGATAAAAAAAAATCAACGCTCACAAATCAGTAGCATTTCTATACTCTAACAATGAATTATCCAAAAAGAAATCAAGAAAATAATCCCATTTACAGTGGCATCAAAAAGTAAAATACTTAGGAATAAATTTAGTCAAGGAGGTAAAAGAGCACTACAATGGAATCTGTTAATAATTATGAAATGAATTAAAGAAGACACAAATAAATGGGAAAATTTCCCATATTGGCAGGCTAGAAGTGTTAATATTGTTAAGAAATCCACACCACCAGTTGTGGTTTGGATTTGGAATGCCGCAGCCAGTACCTCCTGTGCTCATAGGCAGGGTCTATGAGAGGTGACTGGCTTATGGGGAGGCTATAGCTGGCTTGCTGACTTGCTGCTAGGAGGTGGGGTCTGGTCAGAAGAGGAGCTCACTGGGGCAGGGCACAGCCTGGAAAGGTGCGACTCCCCTGGCTCCTTCCTGCCCTCTGTGCTTCCTGGCCGCCATGATGTGAGCAGATCTCCTCCTTCATTCCTCCTGCCAGGCCATTCCACCTTAGGACCAAGCTGACTTCGGATTCAGCCCGGAGCCCAAATAAACCTGCCCTCCTTTAAGTTGTGGGAGGAAAGTGAGACTCTACCCAAAGCATTCTACAAATTCAATGCAATTTCTGTCACAATCCCACTGAAATTTTTCACAGAAATAGGGAAAAAAGTCCTAAGACTCTAGCAGAACCTCAGAAGACCCCCAAATAGCAAAAGCAATCTTGAGCAAGAACAAACCTGGAAGTATCACATTACCTGATTCCAAAATATATTGAAAAGCTCTTGTAATCACAGTAGTAAAAACCCAGATACATAGACCAACAGAACAGGATAGGAAGCCCCAAAATAAACCCATGTGTTTACAGTTAATTAATCTTCAACAAATGTGTCAAAAGCATACAAAAGGGGAAAGCTGGTCTTAAAAATGTAGCCAGGCAAATGAGATAACTACATGCATGGATTTTCTCCGCCATCTACAAAAGAACAGCTCAAAGATTATTGAAGGCTTAAATGTAGCACCAAACTGGATGTGGTGCCATACACCTCGAATACTAGTTCTGGGAGACCGAACCAAGAGGACTGCAAGTTCGAGTCCAGCCTGGCAACTTAGCCACATAGCAAGACCTTGTCTAAAAACTGAAGAACAGAACACAGGCTGGGAAGCTGGGGATGTAGCTCAGTGCAAGGGTACTGGATTCAATTTCCAGTAGTGGAGAAAAAATACATGATCATAGACTGTAACGCTATTGAAGAAAACACGGGTAGAAAACTTCTTGATATTGGTCTGGGTAATATAGGACACAAAAAGTATTGGCAACAAAAGAAAAATAAATAAAATTGTATCAAGCTAAAGAGATTCTGCACAACAAAGTAAGCAATCAAAGTAGTTAAGAGGCACCCCATGCAACAGAAGAAAATAATTGCAAACCATATATTTGGATATTTTAATATCCAAAATACATAAGTAAGTTACACAACTCAATAGCAAGAAAGCACATGAACTAATTTAAAATTGTGTGAAGGACCCAAACAAATATTTATCAAAAGAAGATGCACAAATAGTAAACAGGTAAATGAAAAAGTACTCAATATCACTAATAATCAAAGAAATTCAAATTTTAAAAAATAATTAGATATGCTTCATACCTGTTACAATTATAATTATTAAAAAGACAAAAATAACAAGACTATAGAAAAAAGGAACGATGTGCATTGTCGGTGGACTGTAAATTAGTGTAGCCACTACGGAAAACAGCGGGTAAGCTCCTCAAGAACTGAAAATAACAGGCTGGGGATTTAGCTCAGTGGTGCTGCACCTACTTTGCAACACAAGGTCCTGGGTTTGACCCTGGTACTGAAACAACAACTAAAACTAAACACAGAACCACCACATGATCCAGCAGTCCCACTTCTGGGTGTGTATCCAAAGGGAACGAGAACCAACATCTGTACTCCCGTACTCATTGCCGTGTTGTTCACAGTAGCCAAGATATGGAATCAGCACAGCCATAAATCGACATGTGTATGCACTTCTAACATGTAACACGTACACACGTATGTCTCACACACGCACACATGCACACTGCAGGGGGGGTGGGGATATTATCTATCCTTCAAAGAAGAAACTCTGCCATTTGCAAAAACATGGACAAACCTAGAGGACATTATGCTAAACGAAATAGGCTGGGCACAAAATGACAAGTACAAGACCCTGCTTCTATGTGGAAATTTTAAAAGTTGAATTCATAAAGGTGTAGGGAAGGTGGGATGGGTAGGGGAAGAGTAAAAAAGGGAAAAGAAAAAATGTGAGAGAATGAAAAGATGAAAATAAAGTGTTTGTAGATGGGGAGGGGAGGAGGGGGTGAAGGGAGGGCAGAGGTAAGGGGAAAAAATGAGAATCAAGACTTGTCATGTAGAGGTACAAGATCCCAACAATGAATGTAACTGTACTGTATCCCTAAAATGTACCAATAAACTCAATTAAAGCTGGAAAAAACTAGTTGAATTCATATAAGCAGAGAATAAAATGGTGGTTATTTTATAAATATAAAATGGTGGAGTATGGGAGATAGGAGTTGGTCAAAGAGTACAAAGCTCCAGTTTTACAGGGTTGATAAATTCTAGAGACCTATTTACAGCCTGGTGAACATAATTAACAATGTACTGCATATCTGAAAGTTGCTAGGAGACAGATTTTAAATATTCTCAGCACAAAACAATAGCCATGTAAATTCATGGATGTGTTAATCACCTTGATGGTGCTGATCAACGTCATCACATATCAAAACATGACATTACATACTGTAAATATATAGAATTTTTATTTGTCAAGTGTACTTGAGTAGAGCTAGAAAGGAAAACTAGACTGGATTCGTGGTTCCTTAACTCGTGTAGTCACTCTCTTGCTCACTTGCAGTTTTGCTCTGGCATCACCCCTCCCTGGTCACTCCGTCTTTATAATCCTTGACCAGTGCATCTCACTCTAGATGCAGATGTCCCTTTTCAGTGTCTGTGCGTCGAGTCTCACCAACACTGACTTTGGCCACTGTGCCACCGATAGCTGTGCTTTCCCGACCCACTAGTCCTCTCCTCTACATCCCACTTCATTGCCTTATCCATCGTGTCAGTGATTCTTGTAAAACCTTTTGCCAGCTACCTTGTTCCCTTCTGTTTTCATCATACACATATTACAAAGTGCTAATCCGGATGGAACCCACGACTCTCCAGGCCCGCGTCTCAGTGGATAACACATCATGACGCAGACACACACACACACAGGTACTTGTCAACCATAAATCCAAGACCACCACTCTCAAGATGACCTCCAACCTTGCATAGTAACGCTATTGTATTTCTCAGGCCAACTCGAGTTCTCACCCTTCACAAAGAATATTTCACAATTCTCTGCTCTCCTCAAGCTTCCATCTTCCCTAATTTCCTTTACTTTCGGCAAAGGACCTCGGAACCTTTTCTCCTCCTTCAAAATGATTACAGAAGGTTTCAGGACTCTTTGGACTACCTTAGTAAAACAGAAGGGATTATCTGTTACTGCATTAAACCCACGTCCGGTTTTATCAGAGGCCGATCAATCCAATCTGCCTAGAAAGGGGACAGCGAGGGCTAAAGAAAGAGAGGCAATAGAGACTTGTATAACATCACAATACATGGAGTGCTGGGAGGTCAGTACCTCAGAGTGGGCCCAGACAAAGGCACTCCAAGCTAGCCACTCTTTATTGGGTGCACTCAATAATCCAAAGGAGCGGGGGGGGGGACTCCGAGGGTGGCAGTGATCCTACGTTGATGAGGATCTCATGTCGATGAGAAGAGTGAGATGGGCAAAGCAATCTTACAACAGTAGGTGGGACAAAACAGCAGGCTAATCAGGAGTCTGTCCTTCTCCCACGTTTATTACTACTCAATTCTCAAAGAACCAAGCTGTCTCGAGCCGATGTTCTCTTGCCCTTGAGTGTCGCAGCCTCACGGGACCATTGAGGCCTCAACTTGTGACCAGAGGCAAAATGGAGTTGTTTCTGCTTGCCAGAGCTGGCTGGTGGGCAAGAAGACATTGGGCCTTAGACGCTACTAATCATAATTTAATTCTGAAATGATTTTCCCAAAAATTATATAGAATGGCTCTAACACAGTTGATACAGGGCAAAGTGAGGTGCTTGGACCAATAGCGTTAGCATCATGCGGGGATTCTTAGGAAGGCAAATTCTCAGTTTGCACTCTGGCCCCAAAGAATAGAAATTCTGGGAAAAGAGGCAAAATTTTTATTTTAACAAGTCTTCTAGGTAACTCTGGACTAAACTAAAATTCGTGAAGTACTCTTACAGGAAACCTGCTCCCCGTTTTCTGCAGAGGCAACCGCCAAGGTGAGCTTCAGATTTCTTCTCTACTTACCTTCTCAGGAGGTTTTCATCGCTCTCCTTTCTCTGTGTATGGCCTGAGCCTTTCTCTCTTGAGCCTGTTTATGGACAGAAGGCATTTTTAAATCCCTTCTATTCAGAAGCTCATCTTTGGCCCCTTCTCCAAACACTTCAAGACAGTATACTCTTTTGATTTTACTCCTACCTCTCTGGCTAGTTTTTCTCTGTATCCTTTGTTGATCTATCCTCTTCTCTGCTATTAAAACTAGAGAATTTCCCTTTTCGCCTTATACTAATGATTATGTAAGTTTTTCCAACTTTTATTGCTTTGAAGGTCATCTACACATAAATATATATTAATATTCCAAACATCTGCCTTGGTCACCTCTTTTCTTAAGAATATCTAAGAATGTCATATTCTGCTTGTTTGAAATTTAGTTCATGGTCCTCTTCTCCCCATGCTAGCTGTCTCATTTGTGGGGTGCCACTTCTGATGAGCATCAAAGCCCAGGAGTCATAAGTGCACCTGAGGACACTGACGGCCCTGACCCCTCTCTCAGGGACTGAGAGCTAAGAGTGACCTAACACCTCACCATGCATGCGAGACATGGCCAAGGTCACACAGAGGATGGTTAGTCCACGTCTCAGTAAGCAGATAAGACGACAACTGCTAAAGAACACTGCAGCGTTTTAGTAGGTGTGTTTGCCACGTGGCTGTAACTGCTGTGGGCTAAAGAAATGGAGAGGCACAGCTCTTGAGCTCTGGGGCCCTCCTGCTCTATGGCTGTCCTGGTACTGATGATGGACTCTCCCTGTGCTGTTTTTTATTGGGGAACTAATTAATTAATTCAGACTCTATGGACTAAATGGACCCCTCGCCAGATGCTCCCAGGGGAGGCCCAGCCTTGGCCCTCACACCGTTGTACTCCTCTTGTTTTTCTTTTTTTGCACCATCTTTCTCTTCATGCTGGCTAAACTACTCTCTCTTTCCCTTAATTAATTCTTACCTTTCCTGCCAGTCTCAATTCAAACCTCTCTTAAAGAAGCCTTCCTGAACCAGCTTAGCACTCATCACATTATAATTGCACTTTTATTTTTATGATAATGTAACCAAATGCCCATCTCTGCCATTATAATCCAAATGACATGAAAACCAAAATGAGATCTGATTTGCTAAGAGCGGTATCATTAGCGCTTGGCCCCCATACATAGTAGACCATAGATGAGACACATTGAATGTATAGTTAATTCTTATAATTTACACCTGTAAGGTAAGTTTTGTTTATTCTGTGTGAAAATTGATCATCCTAGATCTTTGTGCATAAACCCAAAGGCCTCTAAATGCTCAGACAAGACCTGTATGCTCATTCCTAAAGCAGAAATTACTGGAAAGTGGACATTTCTACATGTGAGTCACACCCTTAACAAGAGGCCAACCTTCAAGGAAAATGAGTGATCACTGGCCAAGCACAAGAAGGCAGGAGAGAGGAACAAGAACAGAACCACACAGCCACTCTGATATCCCACACTCATGATGCAGACTCTGTCCAAAGAGAGATTTTTTTTTTTTCCACACAAAGCTGCAAAGCTCAGTTGCACTGCCCACGTGCTGTTTCAAGGCTGATCTACTGAGGCTGTGTCTAGTCAGAGCCTTGAGCCACGAAAACCTCAGGGCACACTCTTGGATCTTGCCATTCTCGTCCTGAAAATGTTTTTTAATATTTTATATACCAGAGGGATCACAAAGCATATAAGGAAACAAAACGCAGAGGAGAAAGAATTATGTAAACTTAGTGGGGCAAATCATGATTTGCCAGCCACTTGTTTCTGCAAACAGTGAGCTGCAATTTATATGCCACTACCCCCCCAAAATTGTATTGTTTATGCCAGGCATGGTGGTGCATGCCTGTAAGCCCAGCATTCAGGAGGCTGAGGCAGGGGGATTGCCGCAAGTTCGAGGCCAGCCTCAGCTACATAGTAAGTTCAAGGACAGTCTGAACTACATAGCAAAAATCTGACTCAAAAAATATGCTTGCACTGTTTGTCACTGTAAAACTAAAACCCAATATATGTAGATAGAAATTAGATATGGGACAGGCCCACTAGCCTAAAGAAATATTTGGTTAGTGTGCATAAGTAACAAGTCAGAAATCTTTCTAAAACTGTCAGGTTATCAGTATGTCGCAGCTTTCCCCCATGAGGGGAAACAAAACTTAACGATCATTGACTAGACAAAAACAGCCAAAATCTCAACAGATGGGTGACTGTCAATTAGCCATTTGTTAACCAGTGTGGATTTCTTGGCAGCTCTCATGAGACTGCAACAAAATGGGAGGGAGGCGAGAGCATGCAGGAGCGGAAATGGAAGGATAAGTTCTCCTGGATCTCATTTTTAATTTTTCATGACATTTTATATGCTTCATAGAAAAATAATTTGGTGGAAAATAACATGAGAAAAAGAGGATCTTATGCAACATCAACGAGAGGCCTTTATTTAGGACCTTCATGGGTTACTATGCTTTCAAGACAAAGTTCTCCATCTTTAAAGTATATAAGTATCCACAGGATGCTTGTTAAAAATTCAGATTCTCAGATCTGTTTGTATTTAGTAGAATCGAGGGATGTGGAAGGAGATGAATTTTAAAACTCTAGAGGATTCATCTGCAGAACACACTTCAAGAAAAAGTGTTATAGGAAAAGAAATTCAGGTTCCTCATATCCTTGAAATATGTAAGATTAAGAAAAACACAACCTAGCTACTAAATCTATAGTTCAAATACAAGATAGAGTATTTCAATATCTTCTGTTTTTTCATATGACAATCTAAGTAGGTTCTAAATCAAGTGTATCTCAGACTTTCATAAAAATTCTTTGGAGATTTTATTAAACTGTTTCTGATTCAGTAGGTCTGAGATGGGGTCCGTAGTTCTGCAGTTCTCAAAAGGTCTAGGCTTCGCCGATGGCGTCAGACCTCAGATTCGCACAGTGAGCACCATGACTCTAGACACTGGTTATAATCATCAGCATACATCAGTATCCCCTGAAGGACTGGCCAATACACAAAGTGTCTGATTCCTGTAACCACAGAGCTAGAGTTTGGCCTGAGGCAGCAGCCAGTTGACCCAATCACCTGCAGAGAGAGCCCAACCCTCCGTTACCTCGAGTCTAGAGTGGTGCCGGAGGATGTGTATTCCACAGGGGCCCTGGGAACACACTGTATACTGTCACCACAGACTATCTTCCTGGGGAGGTACTATGATTGAGAAATAAACACCTTTCCAGACTTGAGATGTCTCTTTATAAACTCAGAGTGTAGGCAAACAGCAAAAGCTTGATTATCACTACGAAGCCTAGAAAAGATTACAATCACTGTCTTCCATTATTTGCCTACCTTACCTTGTTCTTTTGGGGAACAGAAAGGACAAAGAAATTGATAAGGATGCAGTTTTGGCAAAGATGAGTAGATTTCATGTATTGAAATTTAAACTTTTATTTTACCTAAGTACTGAGCTTCAGTGAAATAATATACCACTGTACTCTAAAGTCTGTTACCCAGTGATGGATGATTGTTGTCAGAAAAAAATTCTCTTTACAGGGCGGGTAGGTCAAATTTTGGCTAAGGAGGTTTTCCCACCGACTCAGTGAGTCCTAACTAGGCTTTTTGACTAGAAACTCCTTTCTGTGACAGAGAGCAGTGCCAGCATCTTAGTGAACCATGCGGGAGTTACCTGCTTGTCATGCTGAGCAACACACAGAGTGGCACAAACACTCCAGGGGCCTCCTTCAAGGAACTCCAAGCTCCTGAGTGTTACCTTCCTCTGAGTTGAGGAATTAAGGGTCTCTTTTAAATGTGTCTTATCCCATAGGATTAACCCACGAGACTTACCAGTGTTCATCTGGGCTGGAACGCATCCTTGTGATCATAAATACCTTTGAGCACCTGTATGTGTCAGGCCTGCATTTAGGTCCTGCAGACAGTGTAGGGAGCAAAAGGGACAAGATCTCAGCTTGCACGGAGCTTCTGCTGGGGTCTGTTGGGAACTAGTCAACCAATACGTGAAAGAAGCCATTTCAGAGGGTAGGAAATGATGTGGAGAAAATAAGCAGCCTGAGATGATAAAAGAGGGTCTGCTTCATTACACTGCACAGTTGGAGAAGATTTCTACGAAGAGGTAATTAGTGAGTTGTGAAGGATATGAAAAAGCCAAGTGTGGCGTTTATCAAATCACATGGTCAGAGTCACTTATGGTTTTAGTGTGTGGTTGGGAATAAGAGGCAATGTTTGACCATGGAGAAACACAGGAAAATCAGGAGACTGCACAATGGGGTACCACCCAGGAGAGAAGGATCAGGATTTGAGGAGCCAGGATGGCTGCCAACCACATAAGAGCACAGTCTTCAGGGCAGGCTACGTTCTGAGCCACACCTCTCAACTATTTTTGAATTCATGCGTTAAAAATAGCCAAGTCCCAATCTGCTGAAGTTCCAACCCCAGCTGAGTCATTGCAATGGTGAAATAATTACTTTCAGGTTTGAGCAGCTGTGAGGCCCCGGCCCACAGGAACACACTTCAAAGAGTCAGCCGACGCTCTTCATCTTCCATTTCTGAAGCAGCGAAGAGCAGCCCTGAACTTGTCAGTCTGGTCAGGATGGTCTGGCAGAGGTTTCCGAGGACCCCTGCTAAGGAGCTCCATGTCTGAGGCTCTTCCGGGGACCCAAGGGGATCTTGACCCCACACCCAAGCACAGCCGGCCTCAAGTCCTTCCCTTCCTCTGCAGACCTCTCCCCCCATGCTTACCGGCATGATCCGTTGGAAGAAAGTCAACTTTAAAGGGAGGTAGCGTTTCCTGGTCATTTAAGAACAAAACCTATATAATTCATATCTTGCTTATAGTTTGTTTCTCTAAACAGTTTCCCTTCGCAGTCAAAGGGTTCACATGGTGTTTGTCGTTCTTTAAGTGTTGCGTTCGAAAGGGGAGGCTAAGTGGGGTGTGATGGCAGTTGTCTGTGCTGAGGAAGAACAAAAGAGAGGGAAAGAGAGAGAGAGAGAATAGAAAAGGCCATAGGTGGCAACTGTCGGTCCCAGGGCTGTAGACGA